AATTTGCAAAACTAACGGAATGCATAGTTGATATAAAAAACTGGATGACTAGTAATTTCTTACTGCTAAATTCTGAAAAAAATAGATAATCGGGCCAAAAACCCTACATGTAATGTCCTAGAATACCGTTAACACTTGATGGCTGCTCTGTTAATTCTTCATAATCACTTAGGAACCTAGGTGTGCTATTTGATGACAATATTTCCTTCAAAAGCCATGTTTTTAGCATTTGTAAAACCGCATTTTTCCATCTCAAAAGTATATCTAAATTACGACCTATGCTCTCAATGTCAAATGCAGAAACGTTAATTTATGCGTTCATGACCTCAAGGTTAGATTATTGTAATGCTTTATGGGTGGTTGTTCTGAGTGCTTAATAAACAAACTCCAGCTGGTCCAAAATGCAGCAGCTAGATGCTTTATTGGACGGTTGCTCTGCGCGCTTAAACAAACTCCAGCTGGTCCAAAATGCAGCTGCTAGAGTTCTTATTGAACAACAAATACATTTTAAAATCTTGCTAATTACTTATAAAGCCCTTAATGGTTTAGCTCCTCAGTACTTGATTGAGCTCTTATCGCACTATAGTCCTTCACATCCGCTGTGTTCTCAAAACTCTGGCCATTTGATAATACCTACACAGTAAAATCCCGAGTGGTAAATTAACACTGCTCGGAGCATATATGGTCCCACTCTAAAAGAGTGTTAAAGTTAATGAGATAATTATGTGATTAATTAAGTGCTGATTGAGCATTAGTGATGAACAGCTGCTGTTAACAAGCAGAGTCACTGAAGAAAAGAGAAACACAAGAACTACAACTGACTTCAGCCATAGCCTTAGATAAAATCAACTGAAATAAAAGAAGACATTAAATCTCTCAAGATCTCAGCAGAAGATGATTAATCATCTCCACAAACAGCATCTCCAGCTTCGCACATTACTAACCAGTTTGAATTTTTGTTTGTCATGCGTCTAAAAATGTCTTAAGAATTAACAGAGATTTAATTAGAAAATAATACAATTTGAAGTCACCGTTGTGGAGATAAGCGTTTGCTTTAGTTGGGCTCTTGACCCTTGACCTTTTTAACATTAGCTTTTTTCTGGTTGCTGTCACTGTGTTTATGGAACACATTTGTTATGGCAATAAAAACCAAGAGAAAATGTGTTCAGATTATATATATATTTATTTATTTATTTTTTTTAATGAAAATTTACTCATTTGAAAGCCCTTTTTTTTTTATAAATGACGCTGTTGTCGTGATGCAGCCAGGTTCACTGATGTCACCAGTGGTAGTGTGTAACATAGTTTATTGATCATAACTGAATTTTCATGAAACAACAGGAAGAGCTTTAAAAAGACTTTGCACACCAGTTTAGAACATCTGTGCTGTTTAGACACGCAGACATCAAGAATCAGCATATGAATCTCAACAATGGTGATGATCATCAGACAGATTCATGCTGCATTGCATTCTGGGTGCACCAATCATAACTCATCCATGGCTCCCAGCATGCATTGCGACATGAATAAATTATGCAGCTGCATTGTCTTAGTATTTTCTTTTATATTTACTATTTGCTTTTATTTTTCTTTTTTGTTGTGATTTTTTACTTCCTTGTTTTGTGACGTTCAAAAATCACATAAAAAATATCAGAATATTTTGTCACCATTGTTGAGGTTCACATGCTGATTCTTCATGTCTATGAGTGCAGGAACTTAAACCTCGTTATTAACCATATTCATAAAAGTCATTTATGAAGGTTTTTCCTCACATTATAGCAACAATGTAGAAATCATAAAAGCATAAAAACAGTTTTAGATAAATTGCAATCATGCACTCAGAAATATGACATGATTTTACCATAAGTTCTTTGCCATTACACATGTGCTTAATACACACAATTGCGCCAGCCAAAGAAAAACTTAAATTTTCAAAAAGTCAAGGGTCAAACGGCAACTAAAGCAACCACTATTCACAAAAAAGGTAAGTTGAAAAACAAAAAACATGTAAACATTAATTCTCAATAAAGAACTTCTGTTTTAGATAGTCTAACTGGTTAGTAATGCATGAAGCTGGTGATGCTGTTGGTAGAGTTGTTCAATCATCTTCTGCTGAGATCTTGAGAGATTTAAAGTCTTCTTTTATTTCAGTTGATTTTATCTAAGTTTGAGGCTGAAGTCAGTTGTAGTTCTTGTTTCTCTTTTCTTCAGTGATTCTGCTTGTTAACAGCAGCTGTTCATCACTAATGCTCAATCAGCACTTAATTAATCACATAATTATCTCATTAACTTTAACACTCTTTTAGAGTGGGACCATATATGCTCCGAGCAGTGTTAATTTAACACTCGGGATTTTACTGTGTAGAATATAAAAATCAACTGCGGGTGGCAGATCCTTCTCCTATTTAGTGCCCAAACTCGGGGACAATCTACCAAACATTGTTCAGGAGGCAGACACAGTCTGTCAGTTTAGATCTAGATTAAAGACCCATCTCTTTAACCTGGCTTACACATAACACACTAACACATTTCTATTATTCCGTTAAAGGATTGTTATTCTGCATTATTTAGGTCAACTGGAACCGGGAACACCTCCCATAACACCTGACGTACTTGTTACATCATAAGAAGAATGGCATCTACGCTAATATTAGTCTGTTTCGTTCTTATTCTGAGGTCAATTTAGCCACCCAGATGCAGACTGTATCCAGATCAGATGGTCACTGCAGTCACCCGGATCCAGTCTGTATCCAGCCCAGATGGTGGATCAGCACCTAGAGATGACCTCTACATCCCTGAATGTCAGCGGAGACCAGGACAACTAGATGAGCCACAAAGATAGATCCCCAGTGAAGGGGGTCTCCTAGATGGCCACCGGGACAAGACCACGGGAACCAGAAGACTCCTCTGCACAATCTGACTGGAATTAAACTGCTGGTTTTGTCTGGTCAGAGGAGAACTGGACCACGACTGAGCCTGGCTTCTCTCAAGGTTTTTTTCTCCATTTCTGTCCCTGATGGAGTTTTGGTTCCTTGCCGCTGTCGCCTCTGGCTTGCTTAGTTTGGGACACTTAACTTCCAGCGAAATTGTCAACTTGATTGCACATACTTTTTAAACTGAACTGAGCTGGACGATCACTGAATCAATGATGAACTGACTTTAACAGAAATTGAGCATTTACTGTTGTTCTTTTTTATTATTACACACTATTTTTCCATTTTTATACTGTAAAGTTGCTTTGACACAATCTGTATTGTTAAAAGTGCTATATAAATAAAGGTGACTTGACTTGACTATGTAATACAGTCAACAAGCCTGAATCGCCCATCAGTCATTTATGAGCCAAATAATAAAGCAAGATAATTAGCCAGTGTACTCACCATATTTAGCTGCTTTAGCTTGAGCTGGGGTAAGAACACCTGCACCTGCTCAGAGAGGACAGATCCAAATTTTGCTTCAAATTTAGGAAATAGAAAACATCAATAATAACACAGGCCACTGAATGCCATATCTCATGCCCCATGTGCATTGACCTCAAACCTATTGCAACATGTCTTTGCATGCAATGTTTGATTGTACAATTGCTCTGGTAGCTCCTGTTATTCCTAAATTCCTTTTAGTTTCTAAGTTCCTATAGATTCTAAAAGGGAGCACACATGGATAAAATGTATACAGTATATAGTATATATAGTGTCAGCACAATGAGTAAATGCAGGACAAATTAAAGTTGGATTTAGATTTTGAAGCTTTTAACAAACATAAAGTGTGGTCTGTCCTCAACAACAACACTAATTGTTGTTTTTTGGAAAAACTGACATTTTTGTTCCTCACTTTGGAATGGCATACAGGTGAGTAAATTATTTCCTTTAAACAAACAAACAATGTCTGATTGCAGCTCCTAAACCATTCTTTAGCAAAATGATTTTTCACCTCCTGCCCCTGGGTAAACTCCACCAGCACCACCTGCTCCAACACCACCTAAACCAACTCCAACACCCAAGAAAATATGTAAACACTAAACTAGCCACTTGAGTAAATTACTTACATTTCAATATGAAAATTTTTTTATTATAAAAATGTTGATTGTGGTTTAAGGGGATTTCAGAGGAAAACGCATCCTTACCTCCTATACCAGGGTAAAGTCCACCAGCACCACCTGGAAAAGCTCCAGCTCCAGCCCCACCAAAACCAGCTCCAGTACCTGAAGAAATGGGCGCAAACAGTGAACTTCTAATATTAGCTCTTGGAAAAAGAAAAAAAAAAACACGCAATTATGCACAAACAACTGAAGCACAATATTAATTTCTTTGTTCTGTGGATAAAACATGTGGACTTTAAAATCATTTAATTAATTTTTATTACCATATTTAGCAGCTTTGGCCTGTGCAGCAGAGACCCCTAAAGTCCCCACACCTATGTACAGAGACAGCAGATCAGCTACTGGTCATGCATTTACAGTGCATGTGTGTGCGTGCTGATTGCAGCCATGGAAAATGACAGTAATTTCAGTATCTTTGCAATTCTTCTAAGGTGAATTTCATGAAGTCAAGAGCATGTGTGTTTTATTTCACCACACAATCTGACTACATAAGAAATTATATTTTTAACATTGGGGACATTTTGCATTGGGACATTATTTTTGTGAGAATTAATTAAAGGTATATAGAGTATATCCCGTTACACACACACACATACACACACAATATATATATATAAATGCGATAAACGCCATTTAAAAAAAAAAAATTTAGTTTCCGCCAAAATCAATATTGTATATGGTTAGTATTGAAAAGTTCATTTTTAATTTTACGCAAAATGCGATATCCACCGAGTTATTCTGTCATGTTTTCTCCCTTTCTTTCCAAACCGTGACAAACACCAATCTCCCTTCTCTGCAGAATGCGATATATATCCGCTCAACCAATCAAAGCGCACCATTCCATGCACTCTAGACAGTAATGGCGGTGCTTTGAATAAAGCCAGCATCCTAGTTTTCCCTCATCTACTTTGTACTTTGCGCATCTCGTCCTTCTGTGATTAATAGTAAATCTCCACCACGTGCTTTCAGATGGATACACAGAGCCGTAGATCACTGACTATGCAATATCGCATGCATAATCGCAGATGAGTCGGATTCGATTATGAACGCTATATTGCGTAGCTTTTCAGTGTAAGTGTTTTTATTAATGCCATTTATGTTTTTGGTAATACTGCGTATAGCACTAGTCAACTAAATGAATGTAACATGGCAAAGATGAATGCACTTTTGGAAGTTGAATGTAAGGGAAATGTCCTTTTGGAATTTCTGTGGTTTAATGTGATATTGTTCATGTTCTTGTTCATGATGAAATTTTCTTTTATTGTTGTAATTAATTTATAGCATTAACAAGATGACCCGTTGAATTGATTTTGGGAGCGATGACTCATTGAATGTATTTTTAGTCCAGTTGCCTGTATATAAGGTTAGTATTGACCAAGTTCAGAGGCTGTCATATGTGGATTAACCATGTTGTGTATTTTCAGCAGTTTCAATATGAAAAATAACTTTTATATTGATTTAATGGATTTATTGGATTTTGAAAAAAAAACAAAAAAACAAGCGTGTCATGGATTTATTGTATTTTGGGGAATCTTTGAAAATCAGAATCTGGATTTGAATTGTTCATGTTATTATAACCTAAAGATGCAACGTGAAAGTTTTAAACAGAAAATAGTTTTTTCCATTTTGCCACTTTCTTGGTAAAGAAAACAAATTTTTACTCATTGCCACTTTCTTGGTAAAGAAAACAAATTTGTACTCAAATTAATCCAAATGGATTTATAGTGTTTTGGAACCAAACTCTTCATATATATATATATATATATATGTATATATATATATATATATTATTGAGCTAAAACATGATGTGTTCTTTAAGGCTATTTTTAAGATTTATAGTGTATTATAATTATTTAAATATGGTGGCTGTTACATAACACACCAGTCCCTGTTGGATAACCAGGCTTGGAGCCAGCTCCACCTTTCCCACCAGGGAGTCCAGCACCTCCACCAAAACCACCATAACCTTTGGCATAGCAGGTGAGAATCAGCACGCAAGCTCATACACATCACACACAAGGTATTCAGCGCATGCATGTGATCAAGGTCATCACTGTAGCCTACCGTATGGAAGTTTACCACCAGTGTAGGGTAACCCAGCACCTGTTAGGACAAGTCATAACATAAGACTTATCGAGACATACTAAAGATATACCAAAAATACCATGCCAACAAATGTGTTGTATCCTGTACATATTATAGCTATTCACAACAGTAGAGTTCGGCGAGAACTACAGTAACACATGGCCAGTATTTAAACAATGAGCACATACAGATAAAATGCTACAGATAAAACGGCAAACTATTCGATGATAAATAAGCCTCTGAATGATTTCCGTTGACGTACAAGCTCACTTTCACATAACCTGTAAAGCATTAAACCATTGAAGTTGACCACACATTTTTATCAACATTGTATCCTGTTTTTATCAGAACAAATATGCAAGTTTGGAAAAGCTCTCTTCCACTAGAGGCTCACATATTAATACTGCAATCAATTTTTCCTTATTTCACTGGATGTATTCCTAGTCCATTATTAAGGTTGATAACGCGCCGATAAGAGAGACATGAAAATATGTACTTCATTTCAAGCTTCAAACGGAAACATTTATGAAAATATTTTCAGTTGTGACTATGAAAACTATGACTATGAACTTTGTCAAGGCACTTTCCCAAGTGAAATGTCACTTTCCAGAGAGCACATCGTCCATCTGAGGTTAATGCTAGAAACAAATTAATTTGACTTAATTCAACTTCAACTGCTGAACCTCCATGTAGAAAAAAAATCACACAACGTTTCAGTGCACCAGAGAGCAATCTACCACATAAATGGATGACTAGCGATGCAAGTCTAAACACTGATCCAATATAGCTGGGTTTCATCTGGAGCATTTGATGAAAGACATTCTTACTTTCTCAATTCTATCAACCTCATATTGTGTTGCTTAATAGCTGTTTAACCACAAATGCAATCAGTCTGCAAATGCTTCTTTTCAAGGCGTGGCAGAGCTGGGCTGAGCACGATTTGTGCAGTCTGATCAAAAGAATCAAATTTTCCACCTGGGGCTTTGGGAGATTTGAGAGGGTATCCATGAAATACTCCTTGTTGCAGTGGTCCATATCCACGCCCACCTACAACAAAAGGATCATTTGTTTGGATGTCAACAGACAATGCAAACTTTTTGAACACAGGTGTTGTTCAGATTTGCAGATACTTCCACACTATCCAGATATCATTGTTAGTATTCTGTTTACATGGTTGCTGTATGCTCATATACTAACCACCACCTGGTACCAGACCCTGCCCTCCACCAGCAGCTATAGGAAAGATTCAGTCAGTCATAAAGATATGGTAGAGTTTATTTCACTGCAATGACTGATGTCATTTTCATTGAGAGTTTACCTGATTTAGGTTTGAGTCCAGTTCCTGTGGCTACACCAGGAAGAACACCCCGCCCATTGAAGCCTGTAATCATTTAAATCCAAGTTATCAAGACCAAATGAAGGCCATGTGTGCAATTTTAATTGGGTGTTTTATCCAAATGACTGATTAGCAGGCCTGCACTAAATCTGTGAGCACACAGATGTCTGGAGAAATCATTCAGGTTCTACACATACCTTTGTTTATGAGATGTCTTGGCTAATTTGAAAATGGCCCAAATTAATTCTATACACATATGCACAATTTACATTTCATGCATAATTTCTGCTTGTTCCTGTCAGCATTAGAGTCTTCTATGGTGTGCTTTCTACTTTAGGTCAACTGCTGTTATGGAGGAGTCAATCTTGCTGAGCAAGTCAAAGAAATTAAAATTAAGTTGAACAGTCTTTAGCAAGCTACCTGAATAATCCATTACACACTGTGAAGGTAACTCGATCGCACCCTTGAGTGTTGCAGGAATTTGTAGGTTTGCATTCTTGCATATAATATGTTTCTAGCCTAAGCGTGTAGCATCTTCAGCTCAGTTGTACATATTTTGCCAGGAGTAGATCAATTTCACAGAATTCGGCATATGTTCCCCACAATCCGCACCATAAATGTGAAAAACGTTCGCAGAATCCTTGTGGGCCTAGTGGTCATATTGCAGTACACAAACAGAGGAAAATTAACAAACCTTGTCCAGGAACAAGTCCTCCTTGATAAGGTCCAGGCACTCCCACTCCTGCAAAAAAAAACAAGATCGAAAAGTTGATCTATAATCATGCTTATTTCCATGTACAGATACAACTTCAAACCCCCACACTCACCTGGCACTGGAGCTTTCCCAGGCTTCGCGGCTTTTCCTCCAGGTCCAATCCCACCAGGGCCCAGTCCTTGTACCCCGGTCTGAGGAATGACAAGGCCTAACAAACAATTGAAAGGTCAGAGTACCTTAGACCAGACTATCACTGCTGGCTAATCATTCGAATGATCTCATGCCAGTATTTGCTAAATATACATTCACTGCACCTGGGAGGCCAGAACCAGGACCAGTTCCTCCTGCACCTGGCCCTGAACGAACACAAACACACATTCAGTCAGATCACTAAACACATTAGGTGCAAATCTGGCCTGCAGATATTCCTTACGCTTCCTTAGTTTGCCTCACTTTCTCCGTCCCTCTGACATAAAACAAGTCATCTTATCTGATTTCAGTGCCTGGAAGCTGATGTTTCAGGCTGTTCATTTATTTGTTTAACCCTTTTCCAACCGATATCAAACACAGAAGAACAGACATTGCATGCTGCTTTTAGATTATGCCAAGGACATGCTGAAGTAATGTGCTGGCTTTCGGTACATGAACACCACCAGCGGGGTCCCAGAGGGGACACGTTTGTTTATTTGGCTCATGATCTAAGGCTCCTTGATTCAACTTCAAGCCAACTGGAGTACCATGAAAAGAGTCATAGCCACGTGAACACCAACAGAGTAAGTTATTTGGAAAAGGTGTTAAAAAGAGACCTGTATGTTTTTATTGTATGAATGTTTCCTCTAAAAATGAGGTCAGATCCCCTCCTACTTTTTCCTTTTCGATTCTTCTCGAAAGACGTTTAATTCACAATGTGTTTGTACAATGGAAACAATGGACTCTGAAAGATGTATATTACCTCCTTTAGCAGGCTTTCCACCAGCACCTGAAGCAAGAGAATCAGACTTAGAAAAGAGCTGTGTAGTTTTTGTTACTTAGCCACAAAGAAAATCCAAATCATTAATAGGCTTGTTGGATGAATGGCACCTCCAGGAAGACCTCCTCCAGGAAGACCTCCTCCAGGTAGCCCAGCACCTAAAGAGAAGGCCTAATGGTTATATGTAATTACTTGACTGCACTTTAACCACTGCTGACTATTCACTGGATGATGAGCACCTGGTTTAGCCGGTTTCAGACCTCCAGCCACTGGGTAAAATCTTCCAGCACCACCATATGCACCATAAGCACCATAACCATAACCACCTACAGTAGAAGAGACATACAGCAACAAATTCAGAAAAACCTGTATGCCAGGCATGGAAATTTACTGGCATTAAAAGTGTCAGGAATTTTAACATGGCTAACTTGAGGATATTGAGGACAATGTACCATTTTTATTGAAGGAATGTTCTGGGTTCAGTACAACTCAATCAGCAGCATTTGTTGCTTTTCAACTTTTTGGTCACACTTTATTTTGATAGCTCACTTTAGCATTCTACTGATTATTAGTAACTTTAAACTACATGTCAACTAGCAGTTATTAGAGTATCAGTAGACCGTCTGCTTAATATCTGCTGACACTTTATTTAGAAAGTCCACCAACTTATTCTACTAACCCTAACAAAAAGTAGAGAGAAGACAAGGAAATTATAGGAAGCAGCATGGAGGCTAGATCTGTGGTAGGCCTCTAAGCAATGTAGTGAATGTTCTGCAAATACAGTGACTATTGTGACCATGAGTATGCCTCTCTAGAGCATTTGAATTCATGATTCTGGAGAGTGGAATAACAAGGTAGGAGTGATATCTAATAGGAAAGATTTCACATATGAATCATAATGAATTATGAAGATGATCTGCCCCCATCCCCAAATGGCTTGGACTGTAAATGCTATGGAGTGATTTAGCAATGGGACTGGGAGGGGCTGGATGGGAAAGAATGAAGAGAGAGAACAAAAGCCAATACATTTTTAAAGAGATAGAAAGTGAGGGCTCAGAGGCTACAGTGGATCTGAAGTAAATGAGGAGTTAGCTTGATTGAAAATTATTGCTACATTGTGTCCTCCTTCAAAAAGCAAACCCTAAACAAATGAGGTCATGAAGTTTGCATCCGTATTTTATGGTAGAGGGAGGAATACAGGAATGGAAAGGATGTGCAGCAAAATGCTTTGCTTATGAGTCTTTTTTTTTGCCTTGTTGCCATTATAAATATGAGAGTTGCTTTAAAAGCCTCTAAATTCTGGTGTTCGAACTTCTGACACAAGAGAAAGAGATTAAACTTTTTGTAGTGGCTGATGGCAAAAGGAGGCTACACACTCGTGCTTTCCAAGCATAGTTTGCTGAGGGTCACAGACAACAGATCATTAACTTAGAAAAAAATCCACATTGCTCTGCAGAACAATGCCACAATTGTACAGAGCTGAGGATGTAACCATATTTTGGCCTGTTATGGAATATTAAACAGCTTGTCTACATTTGGCTCCAACCTTTTGGATCAATTAAATGTCTAGTATAAGCTAAAGAAAGGTCTCTGCTAATCTCAGCCTCAAGCAACATACCCACAGACAATGTCAACACACTGAAATCATCAGTTCCAATGTGACTTAGTACTACACTAAAATAAAGGGAACGTTTTTGCTGTAAAAGAAGCTTTGTCTTGAGTATCTGGTGTGACCCCCTTGATCATTAATACTAGCAAACAAACATTTCCAGTATTTTCCAGTTTATGGACACCCTGAAGACATTCTTCAGAAAATGTTCTGATATAACACAGAACACATAGTTTCATCAATGATGGCAAGCTGTCCTGGTCCAAAGACAACAAATCAGCCCCAAAACATCATACTGCCCCAACTGTGCTTCACCAGGAAGAGTTTTGTTGTAACCAAATCTAATGGTTCTCATTTACAATCAAAGTTCTGTCTACTCAATGGTCCACAAAATGTTCTTTCTCATTCACATGGTCTTAGGAACATTTCAGGTCAGTAGAAATGTTCTTATTGTAGAGCTGTGGCCTCCTCTGTGCTGTCTTGCCTGATTGTGAAGAAATCACACCAACTTTAGCCATTTCAAGAGAGGCCTCTAGATCCTTAGATGCTGTGATCTGGGGTTTTGTGACCTCCTAAAATGTTACATGTTTTGCTCTTGGAGTGATTTTTGTTTGGACAAGCATGCCTAGGCAGAGAAACAGTGGTGTTAAATTTAGGAAATGTTTTTTTGCACATGTTTTTTTACACAATATATGCTATGATATTAAACTGTTTTGTTTTTTTTCACTTTGAAAAGCTTCTCTTTTTTCTGGAAATCAACAGTGCGATGACATGATTGTTTGATGATGTCATCACTACCATGCTGTTCAGATCATGCAGAGTACTCGTATCATATACTGTTTAAAGTCTCTCCATTTGTTACATATTTTTCTCTTGGCTGTTTACTCTTATGCTGCTGGCTGTTGTGTAATTGATCAGGTTCAACCTTCATGCCTACTTAATTATCAGTGCAATATATCGTCAAATCATATATTTTGTGAATGGCCGCTCAAGTTGCATTTATGACTGGGAACCTCTGGGATAATTTTGATACCCAAGTTTTCAAGTTGGGTGGGCCACAGGCTTTAAACATGGCAGAAGACAGAACTATTGCTGTAGTGACTGTTAAGTTTTATTTGTTTTTCTCACAGCATCTGCATTGCCTTATCTTGTCTATACAGTAATGTATATTTATGTATATAAATAAGTATTTGATGCATATTGTATGTTTTTGTTGTTTGTTTTTTTACACAGTAAAACAACATTTATTTGTCTGAAATTCCAGGATCATCAGCAAGATGACTTACTAGATAGCACAGTCAGTGTATATAATAACTAATTACAGTTGGATAATAAAATTGCATTATTTTTCAAGACAAAAAGCCCAAGAATGCAGAACCCCCACCTCCCCTCCCCCCCCACACACACACACACAATTATACTTTAAAAATCCTACACACATTTCTTCTGTCAGTTGCAGGGATGGACATGAACTGACACTGCAGTGCAAGTATTTGAATGAGTGCTTTACCAAACAGTCAAATATTGTGGTATCAGTTATTTCCAACATAGGCTCATTAGAAAAACATGCTTCTTGCGAAACTCATACCTACATTCAACATACAGACAATTCAGTGCAGTTTCCAGCTGAAATAAACACTAGTGCCAATAAAACACCAATAACGTATTCCTTTTCACACAAATCATGATTACAGAAGCAGATTATCCATTAATGACACTTATTTTTGCACAGTTCTTTTGCAGAATACTACTGTATGTTATGACCTCATAATGCTTTTAACTAAAGCATTTTAAAATGTTGCATCACATAACCAGTTCCATATGTGAGGCTTTTATAATGTGGTAAGCTTGCTCAGTAGCTCACCTGGTATTGCATTGCACTTGCGATATGGAGCGCATGTGCATGAGTTCCATGAAACGCAAGTCACATTGAAAGAGATCAAAGACTTGTAGTAGCAAGTTAAAGGGGTGTGGTTGCTTTGTTTTTGTCACATTTGCGTTTGTTAACACTACTGGTTAGATTCAGGGTAGGGTTTAGTGTAGGTGTGAATGCGACACCTACAAAAACCAACAATAAAATGTTTCCATATTCATGTTCATCTGATTTGGAGAAAATTGAATGCTCTTTTAGTGCCCCTCACTGGACATTTTGCTCTAAAAGTGCCAATAAACATGCAAGAAGCAACATAATGTCATAAGAAATATCAAATGAGCCTAGGCTGATTCTTTCAGAAAAAACTTGCTTCTAAACAGCTCGTAATAACAAAAAAGTACACTGGTCGCTTTATTTTTAAGTCAGCCAGACATCTCTAAGTGGACAATTCTGGGCCGGAATAAGCTGTAAAATGGGCCAAACTTCATGATAAAAGTTGGGCTATGTGACACTACTGAAAGTCCCCTCTAGCACATCTGAACTCACAGAGGCTCAAGACATGTGGAATGCTCTTGGACTAACTGTTGCTAATTTCCTTTTGTTCATCATGAGCTCAGAACTTTAGATGGACCTGTTGATCCATTTGTTTCTTAGTGCATCTAATCTTTACTAATATATCAGTTAGAGCGACTCTCAGACGCGTGGATCAGGCGCCCAGACAGGTGCGTCTGCCATTAGTTAATGATGCACTCCCTTGGTTTCCCGGTGTCAGACAGCAAACCTCCCTCAAGCACTGTGAGTACTGTTCAGGCAAGGCAACTATTCCTGATGAACATGAAGACAGTCCAAGTGCAGCTGGAATATATTACTGTCATCTCACTCTCCCTCTTTCCACAAAGCCCTGAGTGCATGAAGGTTATCAAAACATAACTCTACCCACTCACAAAAACTTACAGAGGAGGACAGAAGAAGAAGAAGAAGAAGCATATACTTTTTTTTGAATGGATGATAGACAAACCCACCACTGTAAGTTTAAGCTGGATGCCATATGTCAAATAATGTGATTTGTCAAAGATGAAACACGCAGTATAGGTAAACATTTTAAATGGGAGGGATTTTGAAGAACTTAAGGTTCAGTTATTGTGAAGTCATCACGGTTATTGTGAAGTACTGTCCAGTGCTTTTGAGTATCCCTACCAAAAAATGGTACTGGTAATGTCTGAAAAAAAAACAAAAAAACATGGTACTTTTTTTTTGACAGCTTATTAGTAGTGTCAGAAACCTCATGAATATTATGTTAGGATCAGGTTTCCTGCTGTTGCTTGTTGAAGTAAACTGTTCTAATTGAAAATGTAAATGTGTTAATTTTTCATCTGCACCACCCTGATTCACTAATTGACCATGCACCACACTAATCTATGCTCGCTCTATTGGTAAAAACATGCTTCAACTTTCCAATTTTATCCCTTGTTTCTTGGCCACTGTGGGAGGTGTTGATGCAATATTCCGACGCGTGCAAAGCACCATAAATAGATTCATAAAGGCTTGTTGAAGTTCCAAACAATAACTGAAGTTTATTGTTCCAAAATTAACTTGAATTGCAACATAAAACAAACAAACAACTTAAAGGCTAATTGCAGGCTTGTTGCACCATGCCATCTTAGCTCCATGCGCACGGTCGAAAGACTGTATGCTCTCGCACCAGCGCCCCCCTCCTGTCAGGGGTGGCATATCCTTTTAAACATTTTTCCCTTCACACCTATAGAGGGCACACACTCAGAGAAATAAACAACATTAACAATATAGCAGCAAACTAATATATAAGTGAACATATAGAAAAATTA